AAAAAGGTTAAAGATAAACAGATAGAAAAGCCCCACGGTCCTTTGCTTCTCTGCTGAGAACATTCTCTTAGGAGCACAGAGCAGTTAACTGGCGCATCAACTCTTATGGGACAAGATGATGGCTTGGATTCACTGGTGACATTGAAGGTGATGGGAACTGAAGTTAGGTAAGGGTGTAATGAAGGTTCAAACGTGTGGAATTGTATCCTAAGAATCTGAAAGTTTAGTTTCCACTACATAAACTGGGGAATGTCAGTAAAATGTATTTATAAAAGATAAATAAGAACTTAAGTTTTGGGTCTTCTGTTCGGTTCCATTGATCCACCATTCTGTTTCTATGCCAGTACCGTGCAGTTTTTATAACTGTTGCTCTATAGTACAGCTTGAGATCAGGGATGGAGATACCTCCAGAAGATCTTTTATTGTAGAGGATTATTTTAGCAATTCTGGATTTCTTGTTATTCCATATGAAGTTGAGAATTTTTCTTTCAAGGTCTGTAAAGAATTGTGTTGGTAATTTGATGGGAATTGCATTAAATCTGTTGATTGCTTTTGGTAAGATGGCCATTTTTACTGTGTTAATCCTGCCAAGCCATGAGCATGGGAGCTCTTTCCATCTTCTGACATCTTCTTCTAATTCTTTCTTCAGAGACTTGAAATTTTTTTATACAAGTCTTTGACTTGCTTGTTTAGAGTCAGAGCCAAACTTTCGGCAGAGTGCAGGAAATCTTATGAAAGAAGTGGGAGATAGTAAGACCTGGAGAGGACAGGAGCTCCACAAGGACAACAGATCCTAAAAGTCTGGGCACAGGATTTTTTCTGAAACTGATACTCCAGCCAAGGACCACTCATGGAGATGGCCTGGAACCCCTGCACAGAGGTAGCCTATGGCAGTTCAATATCCAAGTTGCCTCCATAGTAATGGGGACGGGGACTGTCTCTGACATGAACTTATTGGCCTGCTCTTTGATCACCTCCCCCTAAGTGGGGAACAGCCTTACTAGGCCACAGAAGAAGACAATGCAGCCACTCCTGATGAGACCTGATAGACTAAGTTCAGAGGGAAGGGGTGGAGGACCTCCCTTTTCAGTGGACTGGGAGAGGGACATGGGTGGGGAAGAGGGAGGGTGGGATTGGGAGGTACAGGGAAGATACAGAGTGAATAAACTGTAATTAATAAAAATAAAAATAATTAAATAATAAAAAATTTAAAAAAACCTAATTTTTGGACAGATTCATTGGACCTGAAAAGCAGAGAGCAATATATAGTTGAGGAAACAGGTCTGAGATTAGTTGGGACACTCACGTGTTGTTAGCATGTTTTTGAAGTCATGACATAGGCTTATATTACTGCAATGAATAAAGACAGAAAATAGAAGGCCTCAAGGACTGAGCTCTAGTGCCAGCTCTGATACTTTATAAAATGCTCAACCCATTTCCACAGTTTGCAGAATTGCACAGCAGAGCCAGGCAATACAGTCTTTGCTAAGATTGGGCATTTCTGTATCTATCTAAAAACGGCTTCTTAATGACTTGATTTTTATTCTGTTATAGGTGAAAGTAATCTTTGTGTAGTATTTACTAGTGATATAATTTTGAGATTATATTTTTTGAAATTATAATTTAATAACATTTCTCCTTTCCCTTTCCTCCACCCAAACCCGCTAATGTACCCTTCCCTGCTCTTCTTCCAATTCACTAATTGTATACCTATATATTCATAAATATAACCTGTTCAGTACATATAATGCTACTTGTATGTATGTATCTTTTTAGGGCTGATTGTTTGGTTTGCCGTCTTTGGGGAAGAGCGCTTCTTCAGCTCCCAGCTTTCCTTAGTTGCCTACATTTCTCTGTGTAGGGTTGAGGCCTTCTGGGCTTTCTCCTGTCCGGCTTAGCATGTTCCTTGGTATCATCATTGTTAGTTCACATGGGCAGTCATGTTGGTAACCTGAAAGCTTGTTCTCTGAGGATTAGCTTTCTTGGTACCAGAAGGTGCCATGTAAGCTTCCAAAGTGGGTAGGCAACCAGCAGTCCTACCAGCTATGACACCTACATACTACATCAATAATCAGCCCAGAACAATAACTGTAATGGTACAGTAGTGGTTTAGATATCTTGGTGGTAACCAACAGCTCTCTAATTGGACTTAAGACTCACTCACCAAGGGTAAAACCATATCTGGTATTAGAAACCTAGCTAATACCCAGTGCTAGTGAAGTCATAGTTATTGTAGCAGAAGCTACAACCACTGATTTACTAAATCAGCATAATGCCTTGTGACTATTTTTTTAATGTCTAAATAACCTTAACTATGACTTTGGCTCACTTAGTTGTTAAAACATTCTAATATGACTGATTTATAAAAATACTTTACAAATTATAAAAATTGATTTTGCACTTTTGCAGTGATGCTTCATTTCTACTCAAATGTTTCAATTTTTCCTTAACTTATTTTTTTTTATTAATGTGTATGTGTGGGTCTCTTTCTGTCTCTTTCTGTGTCTCTCTCTGTCTCTTTCTTCCTGTCTCTCTCTGCCTCTCTCTTTCTGTCTCCTTCTCTCTCTCTTGTGTGTGTGTGTGTGTGTGTGTGCGTGTGTGTGTGTGTGTGTATGTGTGTGTGTGTTAGTTGGGGAGAGGGCTCCACAGAGGCAAGAGAGACTTAAATCAAGGAAATGGATACAAATTTTTGTTTTCTTCTTGTTTGGGTAGCATATGGCATGTAGCTTAGGATGCGTTTTAAAATTCAGTCTCTCCTAGGAAGGAATTACTTGGAATCCCCACACCCCTTCTGTAGGCCCAGAATCTGGCATGCATCTTCTTCTCATCATGTATACTGTCTCCATAGCTAACACGCATCTGATCTGATCTGAGTGGGGATTTCCCTAATAGGCTGAAAGGAATCAATAGTCATGGCATGTTTCATGCACAGCAAAGCTTTTATATTTGTCACACCAACTTAAATCTGCTTTTCCCAGCGCTCAGGAACAACTCTGAGTGTAATTCAGTACCTTTACCCAACTTCCTTCCCTCTTCCCTCTTCTCCCATCCCATCCTGTGGTTACCACCATTCTACACTCAACTCAGCTCTTTAAAGTTCTCTGAATGAGACAGAACATGAGTTACTTGTCCTTCTAGGTCTAATCCCATTTAAAACAATCTTCTCCAGCCCCATCTGTTTTGTTATTCATGACAGGCTTTCATTTTTTTTCTTTAAACGTTTGCTTTATCTTGACTCTTGTGACTAGTGCAACCGTAAACACGAGAGTGTGAGTATCTCTTTTGTACAGAGGTCTGCTTTCCTTTCGTAGCTACCCAGAAGTAGGATAGATAGATCCTGTGGTAGATTCACTTTATCACTTTAAGCTTTTTGAAGGAACATCCTGTGCTCAACAGCAGCTGCACTAATTTCCATTCCAATCGTGAAAAAAAAAAAATTCCTTTTCTTCAACACCCTTAATGGCATTTGTGATTTTGCCTTTTTGTCACTGTGACAAATGTTTCTTGAATGTTTTCCCACTAACCACATATTGGTGGGTATTAATCAAATCACAAAGAGATGTGCTTTCATTGCTTTTTCTTCTGTGGTCATTTAACTGGGAAATGTATGCTGTGGACTGTGAAATACTGAGGAAGGAGCATCTCTCCCTTCTTTCAGAATTCCTCCATGAAACTGCCTCAAACATGACCTGCACCTTCCCTTCCAATTTACAGTCACACTTCACACCTGCCCTCAGTCATCTGGCTCTTCCCATGCCTGCTCTGGCTTGAAACTCGCTTGTTGTGGTTTGAAATTCCAGTGTATAAACATCTAGTTTGATCACTCATGAGTTCTTACACACACACACACACACACACACACACACACACACAGGTCAAAAATACATATCACCTAGAAATGGCAAGAAAGGTATTTTGGAATTTGACTGTCAGCTGTCAAAAGTAAGTGTTCTACAAAGAACAGTCTCCATCCAATGATGCTCTCCGATTTAAATAACTCAGGACTGGCTTTCACTCACTGTGCGCCAGCTCTGGCTGCCGCCCCTTACATTTGATATAAATCGGGTGGTATACAAAAGTGAGGAGGCTTTGATTTATTGGAGAATTTTATTGGAGAATTTTGGGTCAGTCTTTGCCCCAAATATATGATAGGTGGGAAAAAAATTTAAAAAGCAGCTCTCACAAAAATAAATTAAAAAAAAACAAGAAATGAAACATGGGAATAACTGGAAAAGAGGTATGTCTCTACTACTTGTATGAAAAACCAAGGGAAGATTAAGAATTAAAAATTACTTTAGAATACATGTGATAGAGAGGAGTTTAAAAGGAAGATACCATAGAAGATAATACACATTTTTCACTTATAACAGGGGAGTTTCTTTCTATTTTTTTCTTTTTTAAAAATATACTTTAAAAATGTCTCTCCCCCCTCTCTCTTTGAGTGTGTGTGTGTGTGTGTGTGTGTGTGTGTGTGTGTGTGTGCAGGTACCCACAGAGGCCAGAAGGGGGTGTCTGATCCCTTGGAGCAGGGGTTACAGGAGGCTGTGGGCTGCCAGACATAGGCACTAGGAACATAATTCCAGTCGTTATAAGGGTAGGAAGCTCTCTCAGCTGCTGAGCCATCTCATGAGCCCCTTGTAATTTTTAAATGGACAGAAAGTCAAAGGAAAAATTAAGAATAAGATCTCATAGGAGACTGCTCAGACAGTTTAACAGAAAATTACTAAGTAGTAATGAGAGTATCGTGGGGAAACGGAGTAATAGGCTGTTTTCAGAAACTGAATTTTCTCAGTTGACTATTATGACTGGTGCTAGTTGATTGTTAATGGTTGGGTGCTCTGCACCTTCTAAGCACTCAATAAATGTGATTGATTGAAATGTCACTTACAGAAACTATAGCAACTATAAGGCAATTGCAAAAGGGAAATGTAATATATCTAAATATCTTGCTAAGCATAAGATTAATAGTAAATAGTAATAATAACAATCAACAACTATACCTTCTCCGTGTCGATGCCCTTTGACATTGACCATGTTGAGACAATGTAATCCATGACACGTTCGCTAAGGCCTTTCGGAACCTGGTACAGTTTCAGGAAATCTCGAACATTGTTCAGCATCTCGTGGTAACGGTTGGTGTTAGCGTACATTTGCTGGAAAATGGTGGTGACGTTTCCAAAAATAGTTGCATAAAGAAGAGCTGAAACGAGAAGAAATGATCGAAATTAAGACAGACGTTCCAAGTTCAAAAGAAATAATAAGCTGACCGCGTCAGTAACGAACGTTACAGAAGTATCTTCATTAACTTCCAGAGGGAAACACGTGGGAAGGAATCCCTGACTGCACTGATTGGCCTCGGCATGCTCTCTAGAAAGGCGGCCATAGAACAACAGTTGTGAACTCCACGAACATTATCATGCCAAACAACATGAGGCTCCATGAAATCGACATAAAGTTAGAAGTTTGCTAAAATTTCTAGCCCTATTTTACTTGCATATTATTATTATTATTATTATTATTATTAGTGTATGTGTGTGTGTGCATGTGTGTTCACGTGTGCATGTGTGTCCCTGTGTATGTAGAGATCAAAGAACAACTTTGTACCACTACATCTCTCCTTTCACCTTTCTGTTGGCTCTGGGGATAGAACTCGGGTGACCAGGTTATGCAGCAAGCACCTTGCCCACCAGGCCATCTCCGCAGCCATCAGCCTTTCTGGCCTTTTCTTCTCTCTAGCCTCACCCTCTCAAGAAAAGCCTTATCAAGTCATAATTTGCCAGGGCTTGATGATCTCGCTTAGAGATGCCTGCTCCTCTCACAGCTCACTCCTTCCAGCTTCTGGAGTGCTTCTTTGGTTATAAATATTTTTGACAGAACATCAGAAATGCTGGGGGGGTGGGGGGAGACAGATTAAAGTGCTCTATTTTTAGAACTTTGTGTAGATGAGTAGGGACGGAACTCAAAGCTGAAATAAAACTGTCAGAGAGCTTTGAGTCGTTAAGCTCGTGTCAGTACAGAAAGAAGTAGAAATGCTTTGAGCCCATCATTTTCAGAGCGAAGACAGCCTGCGACCGTTGTGAGTTATCTACAGGGGACTGCAAGTGAAAATGAGTGCTGCTTAAGGCTGAAACTTGAGTGTACCAGCTCCCTTCTCCCCGGGTCCTGTCGGTCTGTGCATAAGGATCTACTGTGGGGGAGCTCTGTGAAAGTCACTGGGTTCAAACCCCAGCTGAACATGCATCCACTGTTTCATGCAACATTAACTCCTCCCCATCACTTTCTTACTAGCGGGAAGCCCTGCTGACAAGGGGGTGGGGCTGTACTCTGATTTTCAGTAAACACCACACAGCAACTGCAGGAATTCTAGATGCTTCTCGCCAATACATGTGATCAGCAGAGATCACTTCCATCTGTCATTTTCCATTCATTTGGGAAAAAAAAAAGAACATTTCTTGCAAGAAAATATGAGCTATTTCCCTTTGCAGTATCTGAGCCAAACACTGTTGGATATAAATGATGTAAAACCCAGCTAGTAAAGCAACTTAGGATTCTTTCTGTAGTGGGGAAAGGGAGGGAGCAGGTGGGATTATTTGCTTCTCTGAAAGCAGGTGTTCTCCTCTGAGTGTAACACATTGTAATTCCACAACAGAAAGCTGTTACTTTATATAAAAAAAAAAAACAAAATCTCTGTAGTCCTTATTCTAAGGTTGTTATTAAGGGATTCAAACACCAGAGCAGGATGGTTTTTAAATAAGTTGTATTTAATTAAAATTAGATAGAAATATTTCTAAATTGGGTCTTTAAAACTCATTTAAAATTATTTAAAACTTATTTAAAATGTAACACCCCCTCAAATAAAAGTAATTACAGACACGACATCCCGTTACTTCACTGTTGTGCTTAAGAACAGAAACAGCAGCAATATTAACAAGTTCTTCGAGAATAATCATCTAAAATATGCAAATTCATGTTTTCAGAAAAGAAACAACCAGACTGAATTTTTTTTAAATAATGAATAACTATACAATACTGAGACAATTCATTAACTGTGTTCTGTAATAGTTCACAGCCTTTAAAAACTGTCAGTCTGTATCACAGGATTACTTATTAGTTATGCTTAATTAGACTGTCTTTCTAACATGCTTGAAACAGGCTGCATTTGCCAAGCATCTTACTGCTGCCTTCCACACAGAGGAAGAGCAAAGTGTCAGCAAATAGTGTCTCCCTCAGAAACATGAAGCTGAACAGCTTTTCATGTCTTTGCAAGAGCTGCGGAAACTAAGTGAGAGACTGTTGTCATGGGTTTTAGTATAGTAAGAAAGTTAGCATTGAAGAAAGCAGAAAGAAACAATGTTTCCAGGCTATGGCCTTAACTTCAGGAAGTACACTGAGAGACTCTTCCTGCTCAGGGGAGAGACAATTAGGTATATGTGTTAATTTTTAACGGAGCACAGCATGGAGAAGTGCTCTGTCTACTGCAAAGGAAGGAGGGATGTGAGCTCAAGACTATAGTGGAATTCTGCCCACCTGGTAAGACCCAACACAATGCCTATCAGATCTCAAGTTTCTACACCAGGGCCGAGGGCAACTTCTGGACCTATCCTGCTACCAGACAGAGACCTGAGGCCCCAATGGATCACATCCATAGTCTGGACACTACCTCTGGGTAGCTGGAAGGGTTTGCGAGGTGAGGCTACGCCAGCCGCGGGCTGCAGTACCATGGGCTCCAGGTTGCACTGAGCTGAGCCCAGAAGAGTGTGGACTTTGGATGCAACAGTATAAAAGCATTGACGACTCGTGGGAGCTTATGAAAAGTGCCTTCACCATGAGATCCAGGAAGAGACAAGAATCCCATGGCTTCTGACCACATATCGGTAACTGTGGATGAGTTATCTGGGCTCACCCTAACCCTAGAGAGATTTATAGGAACAGCTGCCCGATAGCATGTAACCAGGGATTTATAAGAAATAAGGCCCTCAGACACCCCACAATATTGAAACGATGGCAGTGCTCCAGTGCTGACTTGGGGCAACACTGAACTTAGCTTTTCATCTGCTGCTGAAGTAGCTGACGCCACAGAGCAGCTGCCTAGAATTCCCGAGACAAGCCAAAACAAAGCCACATTTTCAACTGACAATAATGGACGAAAAGAAGTGCCAGTTACTGACCCTATAGCAATCAATCCACACACAGCCAGGTGATTTTCATAAAGCCTTTAAAAAATTGAACAAACTTCAAGGAAACATAGAGAAACAACATCAGTATTTTATCGGAGAAACCTAAGAGAACTGCAGTAACTTAAACACCAACACAAGTAGCCCTTGAACTGAAATAAATAAATTTTTTAGAAAGGAAAAATAAATAAAGAAATGAATGAATGAATGAATGAATAAACAAACAAATAGATAGATAGATAGATAGATAGATAGATAGATAGATAGATAGATAGATAGATAGATAGATAGAGTAAAAAAGTTCACAGCAACTTTGGGACAGCATTAGAAGAATAAATACTTGGGGTGTGGCACTCAAGAGTCTGTAGTGTGTTTCCGAGAGAAAAAAAGCATACTCACAGAGACAATAAAAAAATAACAACTGCCCAATCCTAAAATTCTAAAATTGAAACAGTGGTACATGAAGGTCATCATAATTGGTTCGCAGGGTCACCATGATTGATTGCTATCAATGAAAGCTATCTCAAATCATAACATAATCAATTCCCAAAGGATAAATAAAAAGAGGTTCTTGAGAAAGCAGGAGAGTAACACACACACAAACACATGCATGTACATAACGCACATAGACACATATGCAAACACATACATATATGCACATATATGTTACAATTACCTGCTTTCAGTAGAAACCCCACAGGCCATAAGGGAGTAGTAGGATGAGCTCATCACACATGCTAGATAAAGTTTTTCAACGTGTGGGCCATGACCCCCACAGATGTCATATATCAAATATTTACATTACGATTCATAACATTAGCAAAATCACGGTTATGAAGTAGCGGTGGAATAATTTTATGATTGTGGGTCGCTACAGCATGAGGAGCTGTAATAAAGGTTCTAAAGCCTTAGGATGGGTGGGAGCCACTGTGCAAGAGGAAAAGAAACTATCAATAAAGGATAACGTACCCAGCAAAGCTGTGGTTCAGAAATAAAAGTGTCCTCAGACAAACAAAAGCTGAAAAAAATTATCACCACCTGACATGTCCTTACAAAAGGAAAAAAAAAAAGACCAAGTTCTTTAAATGAATAAAAAGGTACTAACCATCAAGAAAGAACTGGACGTTTAGAACTCATTAATAAGAGAAACTACACAAACTCAGAAGAGCCTAACATGGTAGACCTGGTGCGTAAACCATGTGTGCTTAGCATTAAAAAAAAAAGCATATCAATCAGAATTAATAAGTACATTAGCATGTTGAAACAGGCAACATAGAAAAATATGTAACTGGTGGGTGTGGTGGCACTCTCCTGTAATCCCAGCACTCAGGAAGGCAGAGGCAGGTAGACCCCTGTGAGTTCAAGGCCAGCGTTGTTTACAGAGTTCAGAACAGCCAGAGCTACACAGAGAAACCCTGTCTCAAAAAAACAAAAACAACAAAACAAAAGGTGTGATGGGACATCAAAACTCACAATACGGGGAAGGATGAATATAAATGTCATGGTTTTCTCTGTCCTCACTCTCATCCTTTTGTTTCCTGGCCAGTTTTATGATCAGTGTTTAAGCCACTCTCATTTCAAAATGTGGTTTTTTTTTCCTTAAGTTCCACTGTAACCACAAAGCACAAACCAGCAACAGACCAAAAATAAGAAGCAAGTGAGCAAAACACCCTCCTAGAAAAAAAAAAAAAAAATCACCCAAGAAGATTATGAGAGGAAGAAACACACAGTTTCTGAGAGCCACAAAATGGCAGGAGCAAGATATTACTTAACAGTTACATGAAATGCAAATTAATTAATTCCCCGAGAGAGAGAGATGTGAAGGGACTGAACAAATAATAAGGAATACCCAACTATGCGCTGCTTGCCACACATGGCCCTTTGCTTCTTTCCTACTTGGCTCAGCATCTTCCTTTTGTACACTAATCTCTTCTCCTCGCTCAGGTCTCTGCTTAACGTCAGTTCCTCTCAGGGGTTGTCCCTGACCACCGGGGCTGAACATTCTCTTCTACCAGCATTCTCCAGA